ATGAATGCACGTTACTTGCGCGCCGTTCATGAAACGACACAATCGATTTACTGATCTGGGCATAAGTGTTTCACAACTAGCCGAAGTGACGTGCTCAGCGCATTCGGGCTACGAGAACCGGTGTTCAATGCATTTTCAAACCGAACTACGCAGTAACAACCAATTAGAGCATGACAGTTAGCAATCCACGAACGACATTATTTTACTCTTAATTTTACCCACTGAGTTAACTCAAAGATGCACCAACGCAAAGATCTTGCGCACGTGTAGCGGATACGTATATGTTAGAGATATTACTTACTCAAATAGCCTTTGCTGAGAGAGCCCTAATCACTGCCTCCTCGTAGCGATGTTTTTCCACCAAAAGGAGAGACCGCAAGGCCAACATCCGGGTTGGTGGACCACTGGTAGTTCACCTGATTCCGAACCAACCCCGTCCAAAGGGCGTATGATCCGACGAACTGGACACCGGCGCGTCAGGCTTTGGCTAACCGAAGGCTCCGGTTGTGGATTCCTCAAGAAAATTCACCTGCCTTGGCCTGGTCAACCTGGCAGTATTCAGCCCACATGCAAATCATGGAACGTTTTTCTTTAGCATAAAAATTATTGTACCATGATTTGTTTGGCACAGTCTGGTCTCAGACGTGTGTGAAAAATATATATGTGACATCAGTCGTCAAAATTCATGCTCCAGAATAGTGATTGGAAAGAGGAAACAATGAGAGAAGAATTTCATGTGCAATTTGCCGTTGAAACATGGTTTTAAGGCATTTTAGATGTCATAATCTGGCAGCTCCGGTAAAGTATACATCAACCCCATACGTTTCACATAAACCAACTGAATTCTCTTGAACTTTTGTCTCACATGACGTTTTTCATTTTGACTATCCTTGCAAAATCCATTGAACGTACCAGCTTTCGATAGCACGTGAGTGGGCACACTTTCATGTCATCAACAAACTAATTTCGAATGTGTTCAAGATAACGTGCTGGGCATACGCAAACAACGCTTGTTGGACTGGTATCGATCCATTTGGTTGTTTCGATGATCACACCGACCAACATGTAAACTATTCGATGGAGAAACTCGGACATGAACTTTACCACATTCAACAAACTAGCACACCCTCAAGTGGAGTAACATTGGCATATTATTTGTCGCGTATTTTTATGGATCCAGGTCACCACAGTAACGCAGATACATAGGAGCTGGAGATACCACCACTAGGTCCCGCGATTTATCAGATCAGGTAGAGACGCAAAAATGCATTTAATAGGACCTATACGTTGTGATAGCTCAGACGAACCACAATCACGTCTGGATGATCTGAGTTCAAAAAGCTGCACCAATAACTCGACCGTAGACTAATTGTCACTGACTGACGTAGATACATCTGTCATCAGCCTAAATTGAACCTCGACCGCTGAAAATCTTCCCAACTTGAGTAATCTGTCACTGTTCAATGAAGCTCAACATTGAGCGTGCCAAATTGATTATTTCAACAGTCGGATGTCGTTCGCGTTGATGAGCGACACGGTCTTCTTTAAAGGTCGTAGTGACCAAAGCTCTCTACTACCGATAGCCCTCCAAATCATTCATACGATGACGGAATGAACTAACATGAATTTTAAATCTGTTACAGTCTGGTAGTAGATGAAACGGAAAACTTGCAAGGTGGTTTCACCTCCTAGCGTGTCGAGTAAAGTTCATCTCCTAAATGCTGAACGTCGTCATGTTAAATTGATGTGCAATGAGCCACTGGGGACCAGTTGGAGTGGTTAACCTTGCGGATCAACAACGCTTCGTGCTCAGATTCGAATCTCAGTGCTCTATTGACGATTCTCAAGTGATCAAACAGCTCGCCAAAAGGTTCGAGGTCTGACACAGTGCGACACCGATTGTGAACGCATTGCAGGGATGACACAAATCTCACAGAAGTTTCACGGCAACGGATAAATATGCATTTTGGAAGAATATCATAACTACCTTTTGTGTTCAATAACAGTGATCGTTACAAAGGCAATAATTATAGCTCGAAGTTTGATTATCTGAAGCATGCAAGCGCCCTGCACAGTCGGCATGGCAGTGAGCCAACTGGTCACATGACTCAACCGAACAGTCAATTTTTTCGCATCTTGTGTGGTTGCTTTCGTATTTGGTAACAACTCGGTGTGCCGTTATGTTTGACCCATGTACTCTTTCTCTCACTGTAGCTCATACATGGGACTGAGACAGATACTCAGGTTGAGGTCGTCAAGAAAAAACGAAAGTTTAAGCTGTCATATATGCCCTTCATTTACGATGTCTTGTTTTCGCTATTTTCAGAAACGACCTAGTTCATTTTGGGTAGAGAAAATAAGTGTTTCGGTAAACCGCATAGGTGTACGAAATACGATTTATTTCATGGAAAATTCAAAAAATTTCACGGGACACGAGATTGTACACTGGAGGTTAACAATAACTACCGCATAATATATTGCCTGTTCAGCATTACGACTAAAACCATATTTAAGGTCCGGAGGGCTGTTTGTACAGTGACAAAGCACAAATTCATCACATTTTAAAGACATTAGAAAATGCAAGTTAGTATCCACTTTATGATTCAAATAAAATGAGGGGACGAATTTCGCCCAATTTGTCGAACTACTCAGATATAGGTAGATTCCGTCTTAGAACACGATGATTCGCAACATGCTCCGCCGTTCGAAGCCCAACAGCTGGGGATGTTGGTTAGCATAACAACTAAGTTGATCTTCGAACTACTCTCATGGGTCTTACAATTCAGAGTAACACTTAACGAAAACACCAACGGTTGCAACGTCTAAACGAAGAGTGCATGAACAAAAGTCAGCAGTTTGTTTATTGAGACATATGTATAAAATGAATGAGTAGCAAAAACAGATAAAATCTGCGGTCGCCGGTCTGGATCAAAGAATAACAAGCGAGAAACCGAACACCACTGCCGCTCATCCGTTGCTGGCTCTGCTTGTTTTACACTTAGGACATT